AGTGTGGGATTTGGAAGCAGAGTCAAGTTGAGGGGCAGACTAAGAAGGAGCATTTACGCTCCCCCCCACCAACCTTCCCCCAGCTTTGACTCTATCAAGGGAAATGGATATATGTGTGGGAGGGTGAAGAAAAGGTAGAGAGAGAAATGGAGAAATCCTCAAATGGGAAGTGTTCTTTTTCCTTTTGGATTCCTAGTGGGCTGGGGCATAGTGGAAATATTTGAATATTCAGGTTGTAAGATTGTTTTATTCTAAATTCACACACAACGCTCCCATGCAATGCCCTCCCTACTAGAATGTGACCTCCCCAAGGGCAGGACGAGGTGCATGTTGGAGCCCATGGCTTGGGAGAGCTGACCGTGTCTCTTCCCAGCCCTGTGGTTTGTGACTTTACCTTGGTAGCTTGAAAACAGACATCAAGTACTTACACCTCGGAAATTGATAAATGCTTTTTCTCCTCCAGAGAGCTGCTTGGTAAATGTATAGCAGCACTGGAGAGGTCTCTCCCCAGCTTCTGGCAGCGTAGGCCGTCAAACGTTCAAGGAATGAATAAACAACCACCAGAAAGAGAAGGAAGAAGAGAAGCAGCATTCTAAGTTCAGGTCCACAAACACCATGTGCTGGGTGCCGAAGGGAGATGGAAGACATCTGTTTTTGGGGGGTAGCCCAGCATCTGAATGGGGTTTCCATCTGGGGAACCTGCCCGTTCTTGTTTCTTAGGTCTTGGCAAACAGGGTGCAAGCATGTTCCTGTTGGGGTTGGTATCTACAAGGACCATTCAGGCGATTTTCCGGGGGTGATATGGGTCAGTGTAACCTGCACGAAAGTGGTGGGGGCAGGAGCCCAGTATCCAGTACGACGGTCCTAACCAGAACTGTCCCTGGGCCATGGTCTATGACCTTGGCAGGGACTGCAGCCCTTGTCTGTGCCCGATTCTCTAGCCTTCCTGTCAATTCCATGAGCTCTCCATGTCCTTACTCTAAGCAACGCTTCTGTTTAAGTGAACTACCTCTTTTACTGTGCATTGCAACCAAGAACCCTGTGTGTCAGGTCCGATTAGATGTGCAAGAGATCTATTAGGGGAAACGCTGTGAAGATAAGCAGGTGGGAGCAGGAACAGAGCTGGCCTTCAGAACGTGATGCAGCCCGATGTGTGGCAACTGGACGCTGTCCTCAGCCATGCTTCCTGCACCGTGCTCTCTTGAGGGACATCCTCACGGCTGCCACCAACCTCTGGTACAGGGCACAAGGTGGGGGGTTGGGGGGGGCACGATATATCCCTGACCTTGCAAAGTCCACAGTTGAGAGGGAGAAAGAGAGACAAATGTATCATTGCCGCTGTTCCAAATTGCAAACCCCGCGCTGGGGGAGCACAGAGGCAGGCCGACGGGAAGGCTTCCTGGAAGTGGCGCATCCTGGGAGCCCTGAGGTTTTGCCTTCTCCCTTCTCTCTCCAGTTTTCCATCCCAACCCAGCCTGACAAAAAGATCTGGCCCCTTATTTCTAGGTGGTGTCCCCAGATCTGCAGTCTGCAGAGATGATCTGGAAGTACGGAATCCAGGATACAGGCAGAGGGAACATGGGGCAGAAGGAACTCACTTTTACTGGCGCTTAGTGGGCTCTTTAGAGAAGCCCTGACTTCCCTACACCACCCTCTGTGGGAGGCTCCAGTGAGCAAGCTGAGGCTTAAGGTAACCTGACTTTCCTAAATTCACACACTACGAGAAGCAGAACAGGTTCCCAATCTAGGTGTGTCTGCCTCCGAGGGCTGTAGTTCTTCTGCCCCCCGCCCCCAGGGGCTACTCAGCCCCCCAAGTGGAAGGGAGTGTGTCTGGTGCCACCAGGGAGTGGTATGGGGCCGGTGCAGAGGGAGGGGATTTACAATGAGAGGGAAGGTCTCCCACTTTTTCCTGGAATCTTCTTTCTACCTCACCATTTTTTTTTTTTTTTGTATGTACACTGTGCACACCAGTTTTTGGCACAGAACTCACCACGTCCCTCTGGGGTAGCAGAACCTGAGGCTTGGAGAGGAGGACTACTTGCCTAAGCCAGAAACTGCTCGGGCCTTGCTGGTGGGTCCAAGGCTGACCCTTAGCACTGCGTGTGGGCGCTGCCTCCCCACCCTCGGGGGCTTCTTTGCAGCAGGGGTGGGGAGTAAGAACTCGTGGGCCGGGGTGTCTGAAAAGGGCTCATTGAGGAAAACCAGGAACAGGACAGGAAGGTGGGGCCTCGGCTACCCAGCCCCCACCTTAGCAGAAGAAGCAGCTTCCTCCTCCTTTACGGGGGATCTTTGACCAAGGTCAGAAAATTCCTGGCTTACGGGGGCAGGGAGTGGGGCTTCTTGAATGGAAGAAACTGTTTTCCTCTTTTAGACAGGCTTTGGGTAATTCCATTGCCTTTTCTCTGCCAAGCTTTATCTTTGCCTAAGAATTCGCACCAGTCCCCAGGGGCCCCTGCTACACAGCTGCAGCTGCTTCTCTCTTCATTGATGGGTAAGAAATGGGGCAGATTTAAAATGCTTGTTTTAATAAGCATTTTGTCTGAATATCAGTGACAGCTTAGAGAAATGACCTACAGGAGCTGGGAGGTCTGAACAAGGGGTGGGCTTCCTGCTGGTGACTTTCCTCTGCCCCAGTGGAGACCCGGGGAAGAAATGACCAGTGGCCAGGGTAAGCAAAGGCCTAAAGGCCTAAGAGGATGAGGGAAAGGGACCAGCCTTGTGACCTCCCCACCTCCCATGTGGCCCAGGGCCAATGCTGTTTTCCTAGAGGTAGGTGATTTTCAGGTTCAAAAAAGGGATGGCAGGCAAGAAGTGCCTTTGTTGAGAAAAAGGACAACTAGGAAAGGAAATTAAATTGATCACATTTATTGAGCCCCTACCTTGATCCTACCTAGTGCCCTGGGCACAGGTGATGGGGAGGCAAGATTTATCCTCAGTTTACAGCTGAGTCTGGGAGACTCAGATTCCCACAGAGCGATGCACCATAAACCACCAAAGACAAGGACAGAGACTGAGGGAGCCCGGTGGGCACCGACTCTGCCTGCCGTGGTGTGGGGAAGGCTTCTCGAAGAGCCAACATTTGGCCAGGGTCTTGAGGGATGAGTAGGAGTTTGCAAGGTAGAGTGGGCTTCCAGAGTGCATTCTCAGCAGTGGGAAACTGGCTAGGAGGGTAGGAAGCAGCAGCGTATGTGTGGAGAAACTCAGCTGTGGCTGAAGTTCGGGCATATGTTGGAGATAGTGCAGGTTTGGTTCCAAACCACCGCAATAAAGTGAATATTGCAATAAAGTAAGTCAAATAAATTTTTTGGTTTCCCAGTGCATATAAAACTTATGTTTACACTATACCGCAGTCTATTAAGTGTGCGATAGCATGTCTAAAAAAAACCAAAAATTTTTTTAAGTAAACTGTATGCCCAACGTGGGGCTCAAACTCACAATCCCTGAGATCAAGAGTCCCACGCTCTACCCACTGAGTCAGCCAAGCGCCCCTAAAAAAACAATTTTTTGAATTAAAAAATACTTTACTGCTGAAAAATGCTAACCATCATCTGAGCTTGCAGGGCATCATAACCACTGATCACCATGAAAAATTTTGAAATATTGCAAGAATTATCAATATATGACAGAGACCCGAAGTGAACAAATGCTGTTGGAAAAATGGATGCCAAGAGACTTGCTCCAGGCAGGATTGCCACAAACCTTCAGTTTGTAAAAGATGCAATTTATCTGCAAAGCGGAATAAAGCCAATTGCAAAAAAGCCCCCCAAATCCCAAAACAACCCCAGGAGGCCGAATAGAGTGAGGTCTCCCTGTATAGAATTTCAGGGTGTTAGAGGAGCAGAGAGCCTGACACCGAGGTGTGTTGTGAATTAAGAGGGGCATGGAGGGGGGATGATACAGAGGTGGGTGACTTAGGCATAGAGGAAATGGGACGGGGTGGTGACTAGTGTCCGCCCAAGAGAGGAAACAGAGTGGAGGGCAAGCCAAGCCCTGGCACAGACCCACGGGGATGCAGCACCGGCCACTGTGGGGGCCGCTCCACTGGGATTGGGGATGGGTGTCTGCAGAGCCGGGGTGGGGGGGAGTTGGGGCGGGGAGGCAGCTAGCCAGCGGCAGGGAAAGTCCAACCTCCGCAGGCGTTCCGCGCCGCCAGGCCAGCCTCCCATTCCCAGGGCGGGCACCGACCGAGCGGCACTGCGGGCCCTGCGCGCCCGGAGACAGGTAGGAAAGCCGAGGGACCGGGACCCGGCGGCAGCGGCGGCTCGGCCCGGGGCTGCTGCAGGAACGCGCCCCGCCCGGCCCGCGGGCAGAGCCGCGTCGGAGGAAGTGGGGGATCCCCGAGGAGACCCTGCCTCCGGCTCTGTCCGCCGGGTCACCGCTGGGAGGGGCTGGGAGGTCACCGGCGGGCAGGAGACGCGGGGAGCTACGGGGGCTCGTGCTGGGCAGCCGGACGCGACCCGGGCC